TGGCCTCTAGTGATAAAAAGGTTCCTCACCTCTGGTATAGACAGTACAAAAAGTGTTTGTTTTCAATGTCTCGCCTCCCCAAAAGGAATCAGCGAAAAGACGCGTAATGACTTTCTGCGAGCTGTCCGGCGAAAGAAATCGGATTTTCGGTACGGTCCCGCGCCATCTTTGCCATCAGACAAAGTGCTCCGAGCAGAGAGCCGGGCGTGAAAAGAAGCGGCGTAAAAAAGAAAACGGGAGACGGAAAGGAAAGGGCGAACGATGAAGGGTAGGAACGAGAACCTGCGGAAAAATACAGGGACGAACTGCGGCTCCTCTTACCCTCCCTCGTTCGTATCGGGACCGCCGCCGTGGGAATTATTTTAGACTTGTTAATGCAATTTCCTTAAAAGCGTGGGCGATGTATCAGCACATAAATGCGCGTACATCCAGGCGTCGCCGGCGCCGTCTTTGGCGTCGCGGCTATCGCGTTTAAGAATGTATGCATGGCCTTCTGTTTTATGCAATATCGTATCGTCGCTCTCGACGCGCGGCGAGTATTTCGGCCGAGTGTTTGAGAAATTCATGGGACAAGCTTGATCATTGGCCAGCGCTAAGAAGATTTAGAAACCGAAAACATTTTATTTACGATTGCCGCTGACGATATTCCTTTCCCTCGTCCCCAACAATTGTAGAAACCTCCAGGGAAATTAAAAAAAATCTCCGTACTCGTGTTGATCATATATTCTGTCTGTACCGTCGCACGCATACTTGCGTTAAATAATTCGTTTTCAGGAACGCGTTGCACGCAAAGCAATGAAGGATTTATCGCTGGACGCGATACGGCTCCTTCGACGTTTAACGAGTCGAATTTATATTTACTACTTTCGGTCCGGCCGGAGCGTAACATATTTCAACGGTTCAGCGAGCCGATTAATTATTCACCTCGGAAATTGGCACGACGCGCGTCGTGATCACGAAATAAAATAGATATTTGTCCCCGAGCGGCGTACCAGGAGCGAATTTTATCATCCGATTGAATAAGAACAATTTTCGTTCGGTCGCGTCCAATTATACTCGATTGCTGCGCAGTTCGCCAGGAATTATGGTAATCACTATGGACTCTTTCTTCCGTATGTAGCCAATCTTCCAATTTGCATTCACGAAGAAAAATTCGTTTCTACATAAGAAAGTCAATAAGTATACTTTACCAAATCTCGGGTAAATGTATAATGAACTCGCGATTATAAAATGATTTATCGAAGATGTAATTTTTATTAAAAGCGATCTGGGTTTTCCTAGAAATTCTGAATTTCAACATAAATTCGAATTTCACGTATTGGATTACAAAAACTGTAGACACGAGCATTTAGAAAAATACACATATTTCCATGGATTTTTAGCGTACTCGTATAATAGTCAAAGGGATTCATGTTGATCATATATTCTGTCTGTACCGTCGCACGCATACTTGCGTTAAATAATTCGTTTTCAGGAACGCGTTGCACGCAAAGCAATGAAGGATTTATCGCTGGACGCGATACGGCTCCTTCGACGTTTAACGAGTCGAATTTATATTTACTACTTTCGGTCCGGCCGGAGCGTAACATATTTCAACGGTTCAGCGAGCCGATTAATTATTCACCTCGGAAATTGGCACGACGCGCGTCGTGATCACGAAATAAAATAGATATTTGTCCCCGAGCGGCGTACCAGGAGCGAATTTTATCATCCGATTGAATAAGAACAATTTTCGTTCGGTCGCGTCCAATTATACTCGATTGCTGCGCAGTTCGCCAGGAATTATGGTAATCACTATGGACTCTTTCTTCCGTATGTAGCCAATCTTCCAATTTGCATTCACGAAGAAAAATTCGTTTCTACATAAGAAAGTCAATAAGTATACTTTACCAAATCTCGGGTAAATGTATAATGAACTCGCGATTATAAAATGATTTATCGAAGATGTAATTTTTATTAAAAGCGATCTGGGTTTTCCTAGAAATTCTGAATTTCAACATAAATTCGAATTTCACGTATTGGATTACAAAAACTGTAGACACGAGCATTTAGAAAAATACACATATTTCCATGGATTTTTAGCGTACTCGTATAATAGTCAAAGGGATTCACGTTGTGAATCGTGAATACAAGGACGCTTCTGTCAAAGCTTGTATCTTTTTTATAATAACTCGCATGAATATTCGTTCAAAACTAAATAACTTTTTAAATATTGTATTTGGGGTCTTGAATGCAAAGAAGGTGCAAAATAAAGTTGATTTCAATCGATAAACCAGTGATTCCTTAATGGGCAATTATACTTTATTAACACGTCTGCCTCTCTTCGAGTCTCGTCGACAACTGCCAGTCTCGTTGCAAATTGCCTTAATGAAAAATTGTCTATTTTTGGGATTCCACATATATAATGATATAATAAATAATTTTTAAAATTTCTATACGAAGTCTCGAATGAAAAGGACATGATTATTAATTTATTATTTGGGTCTTTTTACTTCTTTATTGGTGAGTTCGACGAATAACAATTTTTTTTTAATTCTACGAAGAATCTTAATTAATTTGGTCGAACATCGAAGAAGTTATTCAGCTTTGAAACCGGTATGAATATTGATTAGAGTGAGTGTGTTTCCACGGATTTCGTGCGCACGTCGTATAATACACAAAGCGATCAGCGCTGTGAATCTTTGATACGAGAACGTCTCTGTCAAAACTGGTATACGTATTTCGTTAAAGCATCGGAAATGCTTTCACGCTTTGAACACCGTTGAAACTTGAAACGTTTATCCGGCCAGTGGTATCTTCGTGTTTTATCGTACCGGAGAAAAATGAAAATCCCCTGCATTGATGGAAAATCGATACGAGCCGCGATAAACTCTTGTCAGATCTCGGATGCCTGTTAATTCTTCACATCGCGAAAATTGTTTCCACTTTGCAGGGAACTGAACCGAGATCCTCGCCGCGGCCCGTCGGTTTTGATTCTTCGCGCATCGATGGAATCGCCGATGCTATTAGGCGGTATCCGAGTGTATCCCTGACGTGGGAGCATCATCGCGGCCGACAGAACGATTCTTCGGCCTCTCCTCGAACATGTATCACGTTCTCCTTTCGACGAGGTCCCGTGGCTCAGAAATATTCCCGGCACGTTCCGCGCGACACGAGCTAATGATTCCCCTCTCCCCGTCAAACAGTCCCTCCTCTACCTTTGATCTGTTCGTCGTCCCGTCGTCGTCGTCTTCCACCCTCGCTATCTCCCGAATCGCACGAAGCCTTTGACTGCCAGAGAAGAACCAATTCCTAATGGCTTCTTTCTTTTATAACCTTTAAACCCGTTTCCCTTTGCCCCAAAGCTTATCCGAGGATATCCGCGTTTAAGGTTTATTTTTATACTTCCAACGAAATTCAATTTTCGGGTATTCCGTAACTCGAGGTTTCTTGTCTGTAAATTTACATCGAAGTCTTTAATTACAAGAGACTGTTTTTCTTTGCGAAGACAAACAACGTTGAAATTGCTTGCTCCTGTTAATCGACGAATGAAATTAAATTTCTTAAAGGAAGTATTTTTATTTAACATAAATTGT